ACAGTTGTTTCCAAGATGTACCAACTCTGTTTAGAACTCAACAGTGACTACATACAAATCATCACAGTTGTTTCCAAGATGTACCAACTCTGTTTAGAACTCAACAGTGACTACAAACAAATCATCACAGTTGTTTCCAAGATGTACCAACTCTGTTTAGAACTCAACAGTGACTACAAACAAATCATCACAGTTGTTTCCAAGATGTACCAAGCACAAAATTAATATTCCATCTAGAATTTGGTAGATGGAGAATTATCTCAAGAAGAACTGTATTTCTGAAACTTAATTAGCAAGATTATGAACAAGCACCTATGTAAAGTACACATCCCCCAAACTCTAGTGTTTGATTTATATAAATTAACTCCAACAATAGTCTTACTCTTTAGGGGTTCTTTAAGTTTTAAAATAAAGAAAAATATATTGAAAATTTTCAAATCTTCATGTCAAAATATTTTGCTGAAAGTCATCTTAAAAAGAGGAGATTAAATTCCAACACTATGCCAGTCAAATGCTGTTTACAAATTTATGTGTACCTGTTGTAAACAGACTTATATTGGTCCCACAGTGTTCCACCAAGCAATTCCAATCAAAGAACATCTCAAGCTAAATAAAGATATCTACACTTCAACAACCTTGAGAGAAAGACTTCTGCATTCTCTGCCTGGCAGAGAATACTACAGATAAAAGAGAATATTAATTAAACATCTGGAACTAAGCCTAAATGATACCCCTTCATCTTTTCCAATATACATTATTTTTGCTTATAACTCAAAAGTTGACTATAAACAAATCATCATAGTTGTTTTCAAGGTGTACCAACTTTATTTAGAAGTAAACAACTGTGCTTTACAGATTATCAGTTGCCTTGGAACAGAAGTTAAATTTAATTTTGGAAATCAATAATACCAGCCCTAGACTTGGTGTGGAAACCACAGAATCATCTCAAAACTAAAGAGGCAGAAACTGTCCATGAAAAACAAGGCTAACAAATTCTGTTCATAATGCCCAACAGCAGAACCTGCATTACTTTTCTAAAAAATAAAATTAGCAAAATACTAATACCTATTAGTAACATGCAAGTTTTTTTAGATTATTTTCATTGGCTTACTTAAAGCATAAGCAACTTAATAACAAAAAAGTGTATGCCTCTCTCTTTCTACACACACACGCGTATATATATATATATGTCAAGTAAAAATCACCTTGACTACAATATTTTATAATTTCATACTAAATAAATTAATAAACTAGCCCAAGCTACCCTGACATCTTCATCTTGTATGATACTGAGTTACACAACTTTTATCCTGTATTTCAAAGGCTACACAAACTAACAAGACGACAGGCTGGCCTGGCAAAACATTGCACTGTTTTGAAGAAAAAATTTGTTTTATTCAAAAATAATTATTTCATATGTTTTTGTTGTTTTTTCCTGTTTACACTGCTCTTACTTATCTTGAGCTCGCTGAGTAGCACTAACACAAGTTAGTGTTACAATACCAGTTTTCAACTTCAGTAAGTCATTAAGGTTAGCTTCAATAATGATCAATTTTTCCAAATGCAATTTGTTTACAATAACTCGTAAAGACACCAGCTCTTTGACACTTATTCAAATACAAGAAGCTTGTATCTTTAGGTTATAAAGCAAATAAATAACTTTTGTATATTCCGAAAATAATACTATTCTGCACTTCTTGTGCAAGACATTGTTTGAAAGAAACCAACATGCAAGTCTACTTTTAAGTAATAATTTACACACACACACACACACAAAAAAGTCCTCCAATGGGGCAGCAGTAAGTTTACTGACTTACAATGCTAAAATCTGGGGTTCAATTCCTCACAGTGGACATGGCAGAGAGCCCAATGTGGCTTTACTTTAAAACAAACATCATCAAACAATAAAAAAATGAATCTTTTAGTGTGTTTCAAAATTTTGTGCAAAATTACTCAATGGATATCTTCCTTAGCTGTCCCTAACTTACACCACTCACACTAGAACTCTTTTTACCAATGAACAATGGGATTCAACATCACATTATAATGCCCCCATGGCAGTAAGAGCAAGTATGTTCAGTGATTTAAACCTGTGACCACAGATTACGAGTCAGATGACCTAACCACAAGTTCATGTCAGGCCAAAAGCAAATGAACAAAATCTCCACAAATAATCATAAAATTAACTTGGAAACCCAATAAAAACGAAAAACTTTAGTGAAAGTATTAATATTAAGATAAATACAAGAAACTCTTTGCTAAATGGACATTAACAATAAAAAAATAATACTTTTGTATTTTATGAAAAAGATGTACAGAGAAAAGAAAAACATCATAAGAGTAAATTAACATTATGAAGAACGCAAGGAAAATTGCTTCAGTAGACACACACACATATATATATATATATATATCAGGAGAACAGTAGCAATAAAAAACTGAAGAACAAGTGACAGAGGTGTAGCCAAGGGGACCTGGCCCCTCCTGAAAAAATCTAGGCATATTGATCACAATATTTTCAGCTTTTGTACATAATAAACTCGTTTTGTATCATTTAATAAAAAAAATAAAACTTCTATAAACACTATTACATTTGATTTGATGACCATTTTTTTAAATTAAAAATCTAGATCAATTTCAGCTTTCTAATTTATTGCTCCCCCCCTAAAAATGTTCTGCTACCCCTGAGTGGAAAACCTGATAACTGAGCAGTAATGTTCCCAAAACACAAAAAATGTATATATGGAAAAAAAATACTCAAATCATATTAAAACATGAAAGCTATGTTTTGTAATACATCATACTTGTGTACAAGTTTTAATCTGCTTTACCAAAGTATAATCATGGTAACAAGATTAAAAATAATTCTCATGTTTAATTATTTTGCACTTATGGGTAAATCTAAATAATGGAAACTATTTATAAGAGTTTTTACTACTAAGAAAACATTTCCTTTCAACATGATTTAGTACATTGCTTGAAAAGTACTTGCATGTCTATTTACAAGCTCTCATAAAGAACTCAAACTAATCTTGACTAGATACATCTGATTTTCAAATATACTGCCATCTGTTGACAAAACAAGTCATTTGTTACTGATTAAAGGAACTATGTTCGTTTATGTTAAGAATACTGTGTTATAATAACAATCAGAAAGCCTAACAATATTAAATTTATTTAACATATTATAGTGTTACTAAAAAAGTTCAGAAATGTTACCTCTTGTAGTTGTAAAAAAAAAAACATTCCACTTCTTTTCTTTAAGCATTGTAGTTCTGAAACAACTTTCAGCATGTCTTATTTGGATGTATTTCTTGTATGACTATCAACATGACTCCTTTAAATATTCCAGTTGTAGTATATTTCATGTTGTCTGTAAATGTTCCATTTTTGGCAGATTTCACATTCTTATTTAACTTTTCTAGTTCTGATGCCACATTCAACATCTCTCTTTTAACTGTTCAAATTCTGATTACATTTCAAAGGTACTTCTAAAATTTTTTTACTAGTACTAAAACAACTTTTTAAATTAATTTTGTTCTAGACAAAAATTCAAAGTTTTGTTAATTCTTTTGACTTCCAGTAAAATATTCAAAACGTCCTCCGGTGCAACCTTCAATATATTCTCTTCATATGTTTTACTTCTGATTCATCATTCTTTAAGTTTTTGTTAACTTGTATTTTGTTGGAACAATATTTACTGTATATCTTTGCCACATTTAACACATTCTCTTTAAACATCGTACTTCTGATACTAAACAAAAATTTACATAGCGTTAATTTAAACGAAGTACATGACTACTAAAACTTTTATCTTATATTTGTTTATCCACCATAAATACACAGGCTTCACACTAACACAATAAAACAACTTATGAAAAAATAAAATAATAATAATAATAGCTAAAAAAACACTTATCCTTCCAGTTAAATTTGGCCAATCATATTAAGTTCTTGATCTTCACAAGTATAAACAATAAGGCATACATCACAACACTTCAGGGGTGTAGCAAACACAGATTTATAAACCTTGAATATAATACAAATATTAATAATAAATGCAAAAAATCAGATCTGACATAAAATTTCCATATAAAACTATGAATACAAAAGCTCAAGCATTAAAAATCAAAACCACCTAATAAAACTCCTTCATACTCACATTGAACAAACAAAACAAATCTGACACCCGTTTCCTCATGCTAACTTAAACTATTGTCTTTTTAATCAGACATGCAATAATAAATATTTTCATCTCTCAGATTCTTACAGAAGGAAAAAAAAAATTACTTCACTATACACTTTTAACACTACTTTGAGTCTTCATGTTTTGCCCAAGCACCAAATGTTTGGAGAAAATCCCTTAATAACGAATTAAGTCAACTCTTCCACAAAATCTCAGCAAACCAAATACTTTAGGTTAAGGAAGATAAGTTGAAAATATTATTTAAGTGAATAAGAAATTTCATGAATAAATAATCCCCTTCTGACCTATGTGTATCTGTTCTAACTTTATGTCTCATCAATGCATACTCTTCAGATATTTTAATCATTTTCATTACCACTCTCTGTTTCCGGAGTATCCACCAATGATGTCGATAGAAGAATAGGTAACGAAGGTTCTTCGTTGCCAGCCAATTCATCACAATCTGCAGAAATAAACTTGAAATCCATTTCTATTTGATACTCATGTTTAGAAGAATATCTGACAAATTTCTCAGGAGGAGAAGAACATGGAATGGACACTGAACGGACTGTTGTGTGGGAAACGATGGTGGCGGGCATGCTAAACTCTACATTGACCTCTTGACAAACAGAGTTTGGAATCTGGTCGAAGCAAGTTAGATTCAAACGGGATAAAAAAAACTGAGTTGTATATGCACCTGTAATAAAATGAAAATAGTGTAAATGGCTTTATAGACACAATGTAATTTCCGGTTATGAAACCAGCTATCTTTCCCACCTAACATGCACAAATGTCTAATTGCAGAGCATTCTCTACAAACACGATAACTGACATAACTTCAGACTGCAGTCCTCAACTGATAAGGCATTTGTTTTCCATTCACATTAATTTGTTTTGATTAAAACTTGCAAAAAAATATTAAGACAGAAAAAAAACTCAATGTGAAATAAACAAAGATCCATTACTTTTAAAACACAATGAATTCTAAAGTTATAGTCATTAATATATTGCATTACAAATCAAAATATGCTGAGATTAACTAGAAGTTAAATAATAAAATTGATTCTGCATTTATATGGTACTGAAAATTAAAGAAATATATATATCATTAAAATTAAATATATTTGTATGTGGGTTTTTAAAATAAGCCAAAGGGTCTATTACTACCATGATTACTACTTTTCTCAAGTTTTATTGGAAAGTAATCTCAATTTGATGGCCATGTAATTTCAACAAAGAACCAACAGACCCTACCTTGCCCTTCTTTTGGAAGTCGAGATATTCTCCATACTACTGCTTGAAGTGAATGTTCATACTTGGCTTGTCCAACAGAAACTTGAATTAGACTTGGTTCAGCTGTCTGTACTGTGGCCTTAATCCTGTCAAAACCCTGCGATTGAATAACAGTCGGCATCATGAAAAGTCTCACTAGAAACCCTAATGAAACTACGGTGACTAACTACTAAAACTCTATAACTTTACTAAAATCATACTATTTAGATTCTGTCTGTTTACAATGCACCTCCAAAGACCAGATATAACAGTGGAAATATTGATGGTAACAGTAGAGAATACCAACAATGTCACAATATTATTACAAAACATAACAGAAGACCACTTTACTAACCATAACTGTTTTGACAACAAAAATGCCACAAAGTCAAAAGTAAGGAACTAAAGACAGTACATCATTATCTGTCAGCAAAGTCTCCACAAATCCCTGTTAATCACGCATGTCTTAGATTAAATCTTGTTTGAAAACTTACACTGGTTTGTCGAACTAATACTGCAAGGAAAACTGGTTGTCCTTAATCAGATTTATTAGTTTATTTTATACACTGGTTAAATATTAGTCTTCGATTATTTCATTATCATGCCAACACTACCAAACCACCTCTACATAAAATATGGAAAAATTAGTTCATACCTATTTTCTCATTAGATCTTCAAGATTCACAGCTATGACAATTTTAAAAACAAAAAAGGCAGATTTACAAAAAACAATGGTAAGCTCCCATGTTTAAAAGATGCACAGTCTTTAAACACATCATGTCAATAGTCTGCAGGAAAACAAAGTTCTAATATACCCCCCGTGGGTAGCACTCAAACTTAGAATTAAAATAAAATTCAAAGCTAAAAAAGACAAGAAACAAAAACCCCATACTGACACTTAAAATATTTATTTCATTTTTGACAGATTTCTCTCAGTTTTTATTCTTTTCAAATAATTATTCTTGTTAATATAACAAAGGCATTTCTTATTACAATGAACACCCAAGTATATCGAATTGACACACTCGTCATACAGTTTTACACTGAAAAAAAAAAAGAACCACTTGATGAAACAGTTTGAAATTTCAGAACTTTTACAGATTATGTAGCTTCCGTAAAATGAAATATTTTATTTTTTTTGGCGATATTGTATGAATTCTCAACTGTGGATATTTGAAATTACTTCTTCATGAAACGTTTTCTTAAAGAAAGAATTCTTTCCTTCACTTTATTTTTATATTACTGATTTTTATATCTTCCTATTATCTTGTAAATCTTTTCAAAGTCATTTTATAAAACTATAAATGTTCACTGATGTACAATAAAAATAGCTCTCTTATGATACCAAAATTATAATTAAGCCAATTTTTTTAAATTGGTAATCAGATGGTTTCAATTAATAAATTTTGTAACTGTTTTATATTCATTTTTGTATATATTTTAAACTTATCGTTGCCAATTCAAACAGGTAGTTAGGCCAATACAGCCTAATGGAAAGACACTATAATGAACAACAGCCATTTCAGTGAAACATAATTTAATATGGCCATGTGTAATAAGGTCCAACTATATCTAATACAAATTCTCAACATTGTCTTGTTTCAGAAAAAAAACGTTTACTTTACTACATTATGTAATATCACGATTCAAGTGAAGTGTACAATGATAAACCATCAAGCTTTAAAAAAAAAAACAAGGACTATAACTGTAGCAGAAGTTGTTCAGAAAAATCTTTTCTTCGAGTAACACATCAAAAACTAAGCTTATCACATTGTTTTGATATCTTTCAGTAATGTGTTTAGATCTCTAGACTATGACTTGTAAAAACCAGTATAGCCAATTTATGTTGACACCACATCAATCAAGGTTGGAAATCAGCAATTGGCTAAATTAAATTATATTTGTATTGAAGTTATAAGATGTCATTTTGTTCAAAACTATTTCTAATTTAGGAGGATTTTGAATCATTTTTAACTCACCATATGTCAGTGGTAAATCAAAGAACCTATGAGGCCCCTAAGTCACACATTATATTTTCAATTTGACCTTTGATGAAAAGAAAAAACCTGTAACATAATCACTGAATAGTTGGTTCACTATATAATACTGAATGATGAATCCCATAATATTATTCACATACCTCTATTAATTTATGTTACTATATGGCGAGTTAAAAAAGGAGCCCAAAAACCCATTACTATATACACATCCACACTATAAGAGTCACCAAAATTTATTTCTTTGGTTTGCTGAACAAAGCTATGCTGATGAGTCTTGAATAGGTGAAACTGCAGTCACTAGCAGAGGATGCAAAGAATCAATAAATGCTATAGGCCTCCATATCACAGATTATATTTTAAATTTTACCTTTGGTGAAAATATATTCATTATATTTCTACTTTCCTTCTAGGCCTTACCTTCATTTTTCCAGGTTGTCTTGTAGTTGACTTAGCTGTTCCATACTTGTGATGTCTCTCCATCCTGAAGAGGTACACCCAGCACTCTGGAACAGGAAGCCTGATCTGGATGTTCTCACATGGGATCTGTTCACGCTTGTGATTTAGACAACCTGGTACAAGAAGGTCACATCTGATCTCTGCTTTTGAGGAACTGACAGTCATTAATGCTTTCACCTTCATGAAAAGAAATTAATGTGAGGTAAATTTACACAAGGTACTAATGAAACAAATTCTGTAATTAAAATCAGATATTGGGAAATCATTAAATTAACATTAATTTAATTACATGGGTAAAATGCACCTCTTTAAATGTTACATGCACAATGTGTTCTTAGTTGTCAGGTTCCCATTCTCTCTCTCTCTCTGATGGAAATATTCAACAAATACAAAATAAACTGTTTTGGATTTGTTTTTTCAATCTTTAAATACTGGTGTTCTAAACATCACAAAAAGACATTATTGCCAAATGAACTTTAACTAGTTTATTTTTAGAGTAAAGCCACGTTGAGTTATCTGCTGTGTTCACCACGGGGAATCAAAGCCCGGATTTTAGGGTTGTACTGCTGTCCCACAAGAGGACTCTTAACTAGTGTTCCAATATTTTGTAGCAAAGCTGTAAGCTAGAACTATCTGTAATTAGGTCGAAGCTTACAGCTTATTAAATTTGTCTTCAATTTATCAGAAGATTACAGTGTTGATTGCATGTGAATGTTGCATTATAAAAAAGGAAGTTTTAAGAAAGTTAACTGCTAAATATATAATGTGTAATTTAGATCTCTTAATCCTACCAAGACAGGTCCAACGGATCTTCCTACGGTCACGGGTCAAAAGCCAAGTCATCACATTTGTACACTTACATTCAAAATTTTATTGAACTACTATTTTA